TTGCGAGGGACAGGGTTCAGTGGGTCGCTCGGCGAGCCGATTGGATCAGAAACATGGATCTACCGTGGGCTGGCAGCAGACAGGAACGATTGCAGGGGTGAAGGGTTGCCTTGCAGAACGAATGAAGATAGACCATCTGAATGCTCTGCAGCGTGCTGGATAACCAGACCATACCCCGTGCGCTTTCCTTGCCTTGCTCGCGCCCGTGCTCCTCGGCATGGCGCTGCCCTGCCTTGCGGCCCTTTCTGCGCTGTTCTCGGCGCTCGCTGGTGCCCCCTTTGAGGCCACGCACCAGACTTACCTCTGCGAGATCTACCCCGACGGACGATCGTCTACGCCCCTCGCGCAGAATGACCACCGGGGCCCTTGCACTACCCCAGCCGCGGCCCCTTCGCTGAAGCTCGACCGGCCCCGCACAAGCCCTGGCAAAGGGCTCCTGATGAACACGAACGACCTCGACCTGGACACCCGGGACTATATGCACACCTTCCCGCCGGGCAAGTACGCGTGCTACCTGCACACCGACGGGCTCATGACGGACACGAACGACCTCTCCCTGGAGGCCCGGGAGGACACCCACAGCCTCATGCAAACGACGGTACCGGACAGGATGGACAGGTGGGCCAAGATGTTGGACGACCTACGGCATGATTTGGAGATGTTGGACAAAGCGGATCGGGCTGAGGCCGCGGTGCAGCTTCTTCGTTGGCTTGACTTTCGGGCTACTAACAGCGAGGAAGGCTACTGGCTTGGCCATATGCGGGGTCGGCCTGCCGACCTTACGGCTTTGTTGGTGGTGGCGCTCGCTGACACGGGTGTTGACCCCGACACGCTCACCAACCCGTGGTGCTCCTCGTGGGTCCTCGAGACACGACGCCGGCTACAAGCCTATATCCCGTGCCATGAGGGGTCCAACGAGTGTTGGGGACGACCGATCTCTACAGGCATGCCGCCCATCATGCACTTTGGCAGGCCGCCTCCTACATCCACTCCTCCCTCTTCCCCGGGCTTGAGTGCAGTAGTGGAGATTGACGAGGAGGAGCCCTGTTCGAGCCGACCTAAACGCCGCTGCCTCACGCTGGAACTCAGCTCCGGCTCAGCAGACAGACCCAGATTTTCTCGGACACTCACGGTGCCTCTTCGGGAGAATGAGCACACCTTCCAGCTAAGGGTCAGTGTTGGAGAACAAGACGACAGCGAGGCCAGTACTCGATTGCTGACGCCAGCACCTCGCCGAGAACCCGCCGCTGCTCTTCGCCCCGCTGCCTTTCGGTTGCCCGACCCCGCCCCGGGCGATCTGGCCGCGGCTGGTTTGTCCATGCGGGATCTTCTTGGGTTGTGGAGCGGCTGGAGATCGGGGGCACTGCAGGAAGAGGACATCGAGAGAGTGCACGGGCAAGCTGCTGCTCGGTTTGTGCGTGAACACTGGGGCTACCTCCCACACGAGGCCTACGTGCTCCCCACCCTCTACCCGGACCAGACTGAGGCGGACGACCTGCAGGTAGCGCCTTCCACAACGGCCGATGCGGCGCCGAATGACGAGGAACCAGGCGCAGCCCCTTCACATACGTTCAGCAGGGAGATGAGACCGCTCTCCTGATGGTCTTTGTCCGCGTTTTCCCTGCCCTGGCCGCGGTCGGTGCGCCGGAAGTCCCCGTGGTGTGCGAGCTGACGGCCGGCTGCCAGGTGGATTGCTCGTCTACGACGCCAAGGGTTGGAGAATGTCCTCCTGACCAGCTTCCTCTTGGTTCGTGCCCAAGAACGCGAGTGCTACGACTACATGGACGATTGGGAAGGCATCATGTTGGAGCTGGGATTGGAACCTGAGGGTGATTTCGCCCGGATACACGAGGTCCCGCCGGATGTTCAGGAGATGCTGCTGTGGGTTGAGGCAGAAATGTGGGACGATTTCGTTGACCGCTTGGAGAGCCTGACCGGATGGGAGAGTGACCAGGTGATGAATGCGCGGGCCAGACCGAATATGGACTGGGCCACGCGCGCGGCCTGGCGACAGCGCGCGCTTGGCGAGGGCGAGGCTGACCCACCCCTCCAGACGGCACCGGCGGCACCACAGGAGGCGGCGGAGGAGACGGATGCCTCTGCCTTCATGGAGAGATACCGCCAGCGTGGAGATCGCCGCAGGGACGAGAGCAGAGACCCGGCGCCTCCTCGGGGCCGCCCGCTGAGAGATGGCAACCGCCGATCTGGGGATGCTCATCAAGATGCCCGATCGAGAACAGCTGCTTCGTCCCGGGGACCCCGCTGCACGGAAGAGACCCGCAGACTGGAGCCTCGTACACCCCGGGCCCGACCAAGCACTACAACGCGTGCGGCAGTTCCCTTCCTCTCCGTGGATGCGGCGGTTGCGCAGTGGTTGTACTTCTTCGGTCTCAGACGAGGCCCGGACACTACCGAGCTAGCACCTGCCCTGCCTCGAGAGGATATGCAGAGGCGCATAGACTGGCTGGCCACTCTGCATGAACAGGACCTTGCCACTGCGATGACGGGTTTCTTGCGGGTCCTGGCGATGTTGATGGTGGAATGCAGCCAGATGATCCTCACCCATCAGGCGACCTTCCTGGTGGCGGTGGACCTTGA